CAGAATACTTCTGCCCCAAGGACTCCCTTCCCCCACGGACGGTGCTGCCAGCAGAATCCTTGGCCGCGGTCCAGGAACCGGCAGACTTGCGGGCTCGGGTGCTGGAAGCACAGCGCCGTGATGACTGGTCACAGCAACGGAAAGCGGACGTCGACCCAGCGTCCCCCTAGACCTTGGAGGAAGGCTTGCTGAAACACCGGGGCTGGCTGTATGTGCCCACGAGTCCGCTCCGAGCCCACGTCATGAACCAGTGCCATGACAACCCCGCTGCGGGGCATTTCGGCCTCTTTAAGACCTTGCACTTGGTGACGCGGACTTTTTGGTGGCCTCGGGTATGGCATGACGTGCACGCGTACGTGACGTCCTGTGCGACGTGCCGACAGGCCACACCCACGTCCGGCCCACCGCCGGGACTCCTCCAGCCGCTGCCGACACCGGAGAGACCGTGGGGTGCCATCTCCATGGACTTCCTAACAGATCTACCACTGTCCGCCACGTTCACGACCGTCCTTGTGGTGGTGGACATGCTCACCAAGATGACCCATTTCATCCCGTGCCGCGGACTGCCATCGGCCCGCACCATGGCCCGTCTGTTCCTGCAGCACATCTTTCGCCTCCATGGCCTGCCAGACAGGGTGGTGTTGGACCGCAGAGCCCAGTTCACGGCCCGCTTCTGGAAAAGCCTAATGGCTGCGCTGGAGGTGCAGGTGTGCCTGTCATCGTCGCACCATCCGGAGACTGACGGGGGCACGGAGAAGGTCATCGGCATCCTGGAGCAGTACCTCCGCTGTTTCGTCAACCAGCGGCAGGACAACTGGGCCGAGTACCTTCCCCTGGCAGAGTTCGCCTTCAACAACTCCCAACACACCTCCACCCAGATGACCCTGTTCCATGCCAACGTCGGCTACCATCCACGGCTTTTCCCGTTGTTCATCTCGGATTCCCCTGTTCCCGAGACCCAGGACTTCCTCTCGGAGCTTCAGGTAGTGCAGCAACTGGTGAGGCGGCAGCTGATCCGGGCGAAAGAGGACTATAAACGGGTCGCCGACCGCTCCCGACGGGCAACGCCACCGCTGGCAGTCAGAGATCGGGTGTGGCTGTCCGGTGAAGAAACTGGACTATCGTTTTATTGGTCCCTTTCCCATCGAGGCAGTCAGCCCGGTGGCCTACCGGTTGACCCTACCACGCTCCATGCGGATCCACCCCGTTTTCCATCGGTCCCTCCTGGTTCCTGAGGCCCCAGCGAGCCATCTCAAACTCCTGACGACGCCTGCCCCCCCCAGCCGCAGCCGACGAGGAGGACACCTCGACGTACGAGGTGGACAGTATCCGGGACTCCCGTTGGCTGAAGGGGCACTTCCAATACCTCATTGCCTGGAAGGGATATGGCCCCGAGGATTTCAGCTGGGTGGACGCTTCTTCCGTTCAGGCCCCTGACCTGGTACAGGCCTTTCACGATCGGTTCCCGTCCCGACCACATCCCGACCGGCAGACCCGGGGGAAGGGCCCTGCGGTGGGGGATAGTGTTGTGGCTCCGTCTTGTGAGCCCCTCTTATCGGAGGAAGAAGGCTCCGAACATGAAGGAGAGGAGATGGCCAGGCCTCCCTCTCCAGGACCCTCCTCTTTGGCAATGCCTCAGGTGTCTTCCGACGGAGAAGAGATTGACCAGGGGCCAGGTGGTTCTGAGATTGGCCAGGAGCCAGGTGTTTCTGAGATTGGCCAGGAGCCAGGTGTTTCGGATAGTGAGGAAGAGAAGTTGTGGCTGGATCCACGCCAGCGTAGGAGCGACAAGCGTGCACAGCAGAAAAGGAGACGTGCCAGAAATTAAGCTGAGTCACTGGACCACACCCCACAGGCTATAAAAGGGAGGTGGTGGCCATTTGGACTCTCTGACGGACAAAAGCTGAATCTCTGGTGAAGTAGTTTGCTGTGGACTTACTTTTCTAACTGTAAAAGTCTTGGCAGGCAGCTACGGAGCTGCTGCCAAGTTTTCTTATCTGTTAATTGAAGTGTGGAGAAGTTCTTTAACCCTCGGCTGGCTGTTTGGGTGTGTGTGTCTGACGGGGACAGAACAGCTGGAATGGGAGAACTTACCAGATGTGCGCAGCAATATTTCAACACCAGAGGCGGCAAGAAACACACCTCACCTAGCACACATAGCCAATCTAATCCCTCCCCTAGATCCTGAAGCCGAAATCCTACTTATGGTGGAACGAGACACCCCAGAGTCCATTTGTTCCGATGAAAGGATCAAAGGTCCACCAGGCGCCCCAGTAGCCATTAAGATGGAACTCGGATGGGCCATTGGAGGGCCGGTCTGTATCGATAAAATGCAAATTCCAACCCAGGTGAATATCTCAAGAACCTCCTTTCTCAGCAATGGAAGAGATTCCCACCTAAAACCACACCAAGAACACTTCACGCTTGTGACAACCAAACCCGTTTTGGAAGCAACAGTGTTCCAGACCAGTGAAAGTCGCAATGACTCAGCCTTGTCCATAGTGGACAAACAATCTCTGCACCTACGCGCGTCCTCCCAAAGCACTATACATTGGGACAGGCCGTGTCTGCCAGAACAGAAACAAGACTGGGAGTCATGGAGTACACTCCTAGGTTGTCTCCAAAGCAGGCAAGTGCAGCGCATGTATGTCTCCAGTTCATCTGCCACCGTACAAAAGAAAGAATTGTACGCTTTCTCAGATGTGTCAACAAAGGTGAATGCAGCCATAAGATACATCTCAATCTACAACGGGGAGAGCCACATTTCGCCACTGGAAAAGCGAAACTGACAATACAACAAGGCCACACCGTACCAAGGTTAGAATTCTGTGGTACCATATTGGCCGTAAAATTCACCAGCCTGACAACAAAGACGTTAGGCCTTGAGCTACAGTCCACCACCTTCTACGCAGACAGCAAGGTGATGTCAAGCTACATCTGCAACCAAAGCAGATGCTTCTATGTCTATGTAGACAATAGAGCAGAAAAGATTGAAACATTTTTAAGCCCCGAATAATGGCAACATGTGCCAACAGATAAGAACCTTGTGGACCAAGCTAAGTGGCCCACCCTTGCCACACAATTGACAGAATTGATCTGCCTAAAAGGTCCTGAGTCCTTGGCTTGTCCAGACAGCCTGATGCCACAGAGACCAAAACGCTATATGCTTCTAGCTCTAGATCAACATGCCAACATTCAACCTCAGGCACCCAGTAAATTTCTAAGACAGGATGAGAAAAAGACCATCCAGACCATCTGCTTGTCCTCAATGGGCAAAGAGACAGAGAAACTGCTTTCTAGCCATTTCCTAGAACCAGTCAGCTTCAAACCCTCCTCTAAGCAGACACACCTGAGATTGGGCATAGTATTGATGTCCTGATCACTTGTCTTAGCATCCCAAGAACTAGCTTTGTAGGAGCCTGCAAGGACTTACAGACTATTTAAGGTATTTGTCATGACCCAGTGATTGACAAATGTCTGAAGGGCAAAAATTACCCTCCCCATGCATCTCACATGGGTGAAGCGTGGGAGCGCATGATTGGCATACTCAACAAAACCATGGACCCTATCTCGACAAAGACACCCATGCCCACACATGAGGTCCTCACTATCCTCATGACAACAGTAGCAGCCATCATCAACGTTCCACTGGTGGTTCCAGATCCTTCTGTTCCTGAGTTTCCTGTGATTCCAGCTCCTGCTGTTCCTGAGTTTCCTGTGGTTCCAACTCCTGCTGTTGCTGAGTTTCCTGTGGTTCCAGCTCCTGCTGTTCCTGAGTTTCCTGTGGTTCCAGCTTCTTCTGTTCCTGAGTTTCCTGTGGATCCAGGTTTCTTTGTTCCTGTAAATTTTTGGGTTCCAGTTTTTCTGATCCAGAAATTCCTTTGGTTCTAGTTTCTCCTACAGGAAGAAGACCTTGTCTTGCTGAGAGACAAGGACACATACCAGAACTCCTGGCCCATGGGACTCGTGCACCAGGCCCCACCCAGTTCTGATGGACTAGTTCGCCAAGTTGAGGTCCAGATCGTGAAGCCACGTGAGTCAGATCGTGACTCAAAGACTCTTGCACCAGACTGATCACCCACCTGGTCCTGTTGCTGACGAAGACTGAACTGGAAGTTTGGTCCTCAAAGTATGTATATTGTGTACCTCATGATTGCATTGTTTGATGTAACAGCTTGTTTATCTTTGTTATAGTTGTGCATGTTTTGTATTTACCTTATAGTTATGCATGTTTGATATCATGTTTACCTATTTTAGTTAATAGTCAGTTAGCAATGAGAATTGCATGCTTTAATGCTACGTTTTTTGCTTATTTTAGTTAGTTAGTAGTGGAAATTTATATTTCCAAGCGGGGAGTGTGCTGGACCAGGGTAACCCTGGCCAGAGCATATAGTGGCTTGAGATCTGTATGTTAGAATGTTTGGCATTTAAAGGGTTAAGCGCTGTCTCCTTAAGAGATGGCTTATGGGTAATGTAGTTTTAGCTGTTCAGTGAATCCTATGTTAACAAGGCAGTGGGAGGGCTTACTAAGTTCATCACAGGATATCCTGGCTACATGCCAGCTCATAAAGAAGTCTTTGTATCATCCAGCCACATGGCTTCTAGCCCGTGGGTTGGAAGCTCTATCTCCAACATGTGAGGTTACCCAGAAGAGGGGAAATCCATTGTCAATTTACCCGTGGAATGAGTAATAATGCTGAATATGTTTCTGGATGCATCTCTACATAACCGTGAGTTATTGTTTTGAGGATTCCTGGAAATAAAGCAATATTCCTTTTACTTATTTCACCGAGTGAACTGTCTGTCTTGATGGAATTAAAGGAGCCTCTTCTGTCTGGGACAGATCAGTTAATATGTTTATGTTCTCTGGACACTGGAACTGAGAAGACAGGCTTTGCAGTGCAAGGTGCAATAGGACACATCAAATGTTTTTCAAATGTAAAGAGGTGGATTTTGCTCTTTGTGAAGCTATGCAAAATTTCAGAACAAATACTATAGTGTTGTGAATAGTAAATTTTATGTGCTGTACAGTTCTCAAAATACAGAGATTTTGCAGTTCAAGAGTTAAAGTTTGGTACAAAGTACAGTTTCCTTTGGAGAATTATTTTCTGTGAGAAAAACTTGTTTCTTTCCATAATTTAGCTTATTAAACTCCACTGTAATTTCAAGAATAGATTTTCCCTTTGTTTCTGGAAGATATAAGTAGATGATTACACTTGAAATGGCCAGGATCCCCATAAAAATCAGAAAGCAGAAGGGACCAAGATATTCCTGAAAGCAGAGAGAAAGAAAATTAAAACTTAAAAAAGGCACACAGTGTTGCATTCTTCTTTGAAGACAAGGCTGGATCTGGTTCATTAAATAAGCCCTGTCCTTTTCTATTTCATATTGTTGTCAGTTAAGCCATGACAGAAATATGCTTAATGTGTATATAACATCTGGTTCTTTTGTGACTCAGGCTAAATCAAGTTACTCTTACCACAATGAATGGGAAGATCATCCCAAGCAGAAAGAGCCCCATCCAGTTGATAAATCCTACAATTACAAAGGCAGATGGACGGTATGTTTGATTGAAGATTTCCACCATAACTGATATTGTGGCACCAGCTAGCAAAGAGGGAGAGAAAGAAACCGTAATATGACAGAGTCAGTGTTCATGTGAGGCCTCCAGCTGTGGGAAGAGCAAAGAGAAAGGTTTTCTTGTAGCCATGGATGGACTGGTCATCCTGAGCAAGGTTAGATGCATTTCTGAGGGCAGCAAGAATAAGTCATCTTGGGCTCCTTCTCTTCATTCCTAAAATCAGGTGAACAGCCTTATTACATTCTCTGAATAGGAACTCATCATTCCAGGAACCATTATTGTGTCTGGGGAGGATTAAGGGACGCACCTCAGCTCAGGTGTTGAGTGCCCAACAACAGAAAGGCAGATTGCTTAGAGCAGAGCTATAAGGTCCTTGATTATAAATTCCATTTATTTATTTGTCAAACTTGTATGCCAGCTGAGTCTCAGTGGTATGCAATACATGTTCCATGTATGTGCTTATGCCCAAGAACACCCAAATTATACATGCATTAGATGTAAACTATGTGAACTATTAGAGGAAAAAGTAATGCACTTAGAGGCAACTCTAGCCAAACCACAATCTACGAAAAAAAGCTATACCCAAACCGAACCAAATAATGAACAAATAACTCCCAGAGGATTTGACCCTACTGATAAACCCTTGGAGGAAGACAAATGGAGGAATGTCACACATAGAAGGAAACACAATACTCAAAGAAAGAAGCAGCACACAACTAACAAACCCCTTTTGGCTAATCCAACCCAATCAGAAGCAGCCCCATTAAAACTGAGCAATCGATTTCTCCCTTTATATGGAAACATGCAGGCCCACAACCTCCCCCTCAAAGAAAACAACTTCAAATATCCTTTAAAAAATCACATCAACAAACACACCTGAGATAAACAGAAAAGCACCCCAGACTGCAGCCCCCCCAAAAGGAAGGCGAGTGTTGGTAATAGGAGATTCTATCCTCAAAGGAACAAGAATCATCCATCTGCAGACAGGATATACAAACCAGGGAGGTGTGTTGTCTCCCTGGAGCAAAAATCAAAGATGTGGCTGAGAACCTAACCAAAATAATTAGGCCCACAGATTACTACTCTTTCCTCCTCCTCCACATTGGGACAAATGACACAACTAAGAACCTCAGTACAAACAACTAGGGCTAGGCAAATGTTGGACAGACGACAGGTAGGGGCTCCACAGCCGCAGGGGGGGCTGCAACAGCTGGTAATGCCGCCACTGCAGTCTGTAAATGTGCTTAAGAAACATTTTAGTTAGTCTGTGGGCTGATGGGAATCCTTTGCAGTGTTGGTGTCGCTACTAAAATTGGAATCGCAGCCATTTTCTCTGCTTTGCTTTTTACATGATCTTTCTTCTATTTAGAATCAGGTATAGAATGGGATGGGGGTAGGGTGGGATGAATGCTTGAGCTCAGCTAGCTATATTAATAAACACTGCTTTGTGGGAACCCAAGGATGACTTGTTAATGTTTTGGTGTGCTGAGGAGCTGGAGTGAAAGCCCGTTTCAGGCTAATTGGAGAATGTGATTTATGACTGCTTATTAGGGGTGGGAATTGCAACTTATTACTTTGTATCCAGGAGGAAAGTAAACTAGTTTTGGGTTCAACTATGTAGTTCTGATACTTTATCTCCTGAATAAAATGTTCTTTAAGGGAGAATCCTTGCCTTGAAATTCTTTATTGGGTTTCATCTATTGGAACCATGATACCATTGGCTAAAGGGTTGGTGTCGCCAAGAAAACTTTGGTTTCCTGGATCATGGACTGCATTTTCTATGTGAAGGACTCTTGGCAAGGAATGGGCTGCACCTCACAAAAACAGGCAAAAATGTACTCAGAAAAACACTGGCACAACTCATCAGGAGGGCTTTAAACTAAAACTGAGGGGGAAGGGTGACCAATTTTTAGAATCTCTAGAACCCAATCATAAATCCCAAGAAAACAAATCAAACAATGAGGTAGGCAATGATGAGAAAAAAAGAAAAACTCCAACAACAACCAGGAGATGCAGGAAGCATGGACAGGCATAAAAGTCTTAAATGTTTACATACAAATGCTCAAAGCTTGGGGAATGAACAGGACAAACTAGAAGCAATAGTACACGACATAGTTGGCATTACAGAAACCTGGTGGGACGAAACCCATGAATGGAATGGACTGATGGATGGATACAAATTGTTCAAAAGAAACAGGTCTACAATAAGAGGGGGAGTTGCATTATATGTAAGAGAACACTACATATCTACAGAAATGCACATGATCAAAGATAAAATCTCTCTGGAATGTATATGGGTCAATATAAAAGAGAAAAAAAGTGACATTGTCATAGGTATATATTACAGGCCACCCAACCAATCAGAAGAAATAGATGAACTCTTTGCCAACTAGTTAACAAATGTATGTAGGAAGCATACCATAGTAGTAATGGGAGACTTCAACTATCCAGATAGCAACTGGGAGACAAACTCTACAGCAAGCGGGAGATCAAACAGATTCCTAACCAACCTAGCCAACAGCTTTGTCACCCAAAAGGTGAGGAGGGAGCTATATGTAAAGCTATACTGACTTAATTCTTACTTATAGAGAAGAAGTGATAGAAGGAGTTGAAGTTGCTGGAACCTTGGGTGAAAGTGACCACGTCATACTGGAATTTAATGCAAACACTAGCAATATAAAACAATCCAACCAGTGTCTTAAACTTCAAAAGAGCTGATTTTAACAAACTCAGAGAGAACCTAGGAAAGATCCCATGGATGAAAATCCTAAAGGGGAAAACAACCCAAGAAACATGGGAAATTCTGAAAAATGCGATCATAAAAGCCCATTACAGCACAATACCATTGAAAAAGAAAAACAAAAATTCAAGAAGAACCCAGCATGGCTGCACAAAGATCTCTCTGACAAGCTGAAAGATAAGAAGGACAAATACAAAAAATGGAAAGAGAGGCACATAACTAAGGCTGATTATCAGCAGACAGCCAGAAGTCAGAAAAGCAAAGGCTCAGAACAAACACTCACAACAGAAATCAAGGATAATAGAAAAAGTTTCTTCCAACATATTAACAACAAGAAAAAAGTCACGGAAACTGTAGGTCCACTAAAGAGAGAAGATGGCAAGGAAATAAGAGGCAATAGGGAGAAAGCAGAGCTGTTTAACTCATACTTTGCATCAGTCTTCACACAAAAAGAAACTATAGCCCAACATACAAAAAAAAAAACCCACTGCAAAAGACAAACTAGAAACAAAAATTAAAATAAGCAAGAAAATGGTAAGAGAACATCTATCTGACCTTGATGAATATAAATCACCAGGGCCTGACAGATTACATCCCAGAGTTCTGAAGGAGCTGGCAGATGTTATCTCAGAACCATTGCACCCCATCCTTCATAAATCCTGGAGCACTGGGGAAGTACCTGAGGATTGGAAAAGGGCTGATATGGTTCCCATCTTCAAGAAAGGGAAAAATCGGACCCAGGAAACTATAGACCAGGGATTTTCAACCAGTGGTACGGGTACCACCTGTGGTACATTGGCACCTGGCAGGTGGTACGCGACCATCTTAGAAAAGTGGTAGCGGGGGAGGGGAATGAGCTGAACCGGTGGCAGCACCGCACAAGCCTGAGCGAGAGATGGCTGGAGCTGCAGGGCTGTCAGGGCTCAGCAGAAGCGCCAGCATCAGTGCCACTTTCCAGCTGATCGGCATTTTTTCGGGGCTGTCAGGGCTCAGCAGAAGCCCCAGGATCAGCGCCAGGCTCTAGCTGGTGCTTCTGCTGAGCCCAGAAGAAGTGCCGATCAGCTGGAATGTTGCAGCATCTCCAGGGTCTTGTGATTTACATTCAGATGCTTGGCAACTGATTCATATTTATGACGGTCACAGTGTCCCAGGGTCATGTGAAGTGACCAAAACCTGCTGCAACCACCCAGCAGACGGGGTGAATAAAAACCAAACACCCCCCATCCCACCCCCACTGCCAATCCTCAACAGAAATGCTCACAATAATGAAAACCTCGGACAGGAGGAAGAGCATGGCCGGGCGGGCAGGCAGCTGTCTTGCTCGGCTGTGGCTTGGGGGGCACTTTTTTCATTGCCATTGTAACTTCAAACAGTCACTAAGCAAACTGTTGAAAGTTGAGGACTACCTGTTACTTTATCACTTTTTTCCTTTTTGGGGGGGGTCATCAAGTTTTTGACACCTTGCTAGGCGACGGTAGTACTCGGATGTTGCCATATCCTAAAAGTGGTACAATGGGTGAAAAGGTTGAAAAGCCCTGCTATAGACCAATCAGCCTAATATCAATACTTGGGAAGATCCTAGAAAAGATAATCAAAAAGCAGATCTGCAAACAACTAGAAGCAAACAAAGTTATAACTAGTAGCCAGCAAGGGTTTGTTAAGAACAGATCATGCCAAACCAATCTTATTTCATTCTTTGATAAAGTGATTAAACTAGTAGACCAGAGAAATGCTGTGGACATAGTATACTTAAATTTCAATAAGGCATTTGATAAAGTAGATCACAACCTACTCCTTGGTAAGCTAGAAAAAGGTGGAATAGACAACTTCACCAACAGATGGATCTGTAGCTGGCTGGCAAACCGTATTCAATAAGTAGTCCTCAATGACACTACATCCACATGGAGAGAAGTAAGCAGTGGGGTACCACAAGGTTTGGTTTTAGGCCCAGTACTCTTCAATATCTTCATTAATGACTTAGATGAGGGAATTGAAGGGGAACTCATCAAATTTGCAGATGACACTAAATTGGCAGAAGTAGCCAACACCGCAGAAAACAAACTCAGGATCCAAAAAGATCTTGACAAACTTGAACAATGGGCCCTATCCAAAAAAATGAATTTCAGTGTGGAGAAAAGCAAAATTTTACATTTAGGCAGGAAAAATCAAAGGCACAAGTACAGACTGGGCGAGACCTGGATTAAAAACAGCAACTGTGAGAGGGACCTTGGAGTCCTAGTGGACGATCACTTGACTATGAGCCAGCAGAGTGCAGCAGCAGCCAAA